GCGAAAATAGGGTCTTGGCTGCGCTTATCATCATCGAGGCATCATCCAAATCCAAAATGTCGGACAGTGATGTTTCAAGCAGCAAACGTGTATTTGAGTATTTTGAAAATTTTGTTGAAAAAAATAAATAAAGTTTTAACACTGAAATAAAGCTATAGAATTTTATTTTTCAAAAAATGTTAGTATATATTACCCCATTTTTAAGATTTAATTTGAGCACTAGAGATCTGCTCAGAGTGCACCAGAGAGCATCTAGGCCTAAAAATTTCCGGGGCCCTAGGCGCGCCCTCGACCCACGCCTAAATTGTTTCGTTCCTTTGCAAATCTCCATCCACAGCCAAACTCAAACTTGGCATGTATGTGGCATAGGCCTATATTCTAAAAGAAGTGGTGACGGAAAGTTAATAATAATAAATGATATTAACTTTTCCCATGTATTGTAATGTAATTGCATAAAAGTTATTTATTAAATATAAGAATTCAGTTCGGATTTTTCAGTATTGAGAGAAGAGGCCTAGGCCAGGATAATATTCTGCAATAGCCTAGATTAACGTGAAAGAGAATGAGGCCTAGACTACAGTGCCAATGTGACCGGGTTGGCCTACGCATTGGCTAGGTCTCCACGGCGGAAGTTGTGATTTTGAAAGTTTGACGTGACATTTCAAAAGTTGTTGCCGTGAATTTTGAAAGTATGCCGTGACTTTTTAAAGTGTGCTGTGTGGTTTCGAAAGTTGTTGCCGTGAATTTCGAAAATGTGGCCGTGACATTTCGAAAAATGTTGCCTTGACACTTACGGGCCACCGTATCTATACCACCTCAGACCCACCATGGTTGGGGCCGGCTGAGGTAAGAAAATTTATGAATATGGCACCTTTAGATGACCGGAAATGGCACTTCACAGACAAAATTATGAATTTTCTTTTTATATCCAGTTAAAAAAAATATTTTGACAAATTTAGTGTGGCTCCGAACTGCAGCTCCCCCTCCCCCACACTCTTTATTCCGCCACTGGATATAATATATGTCCTACAGTCGATTGCAGACACATATTATGCTCTTGCCCTTGTGAGACTGAGATAAGAAAATGCATTACTATGGCACGCCTAGATGGCCAGACTTCAATTGTGAATATAATTTTCTTTTTATCTCTATTTTTTTTTTTTTTTTTTTTTTGAGAAATTTGGTGGGGTCCATATTAATTTGTACGCGCTCTTTAGTAGCGCGCTGGTATCAATTGATAAAACTGCTCTAAAAAAAACCCCTGAAAACAACCTTTTTTTACAGCCTTTTCTACCATAACTTTGGAACTGCTGATCAGATCAATTTCCTCCTTTTTTTTAAATAAAAGATCTATCTTTCATCTTTCTAATGAGATTAAATGAAACGGGATAGATTTATGTTTTATCCTGTCACTTTTGGATTTCCAGCGTAGAAAGCAGATTTTTTACCTTTCGCGGCTCATGTTACCAAATTCTAATCAGAATAACTCGCAAAGTATTTGACCAATCGGTTTCTTTCTCTCTGTAAGTTGATCTTTATTCTTTTTACCATACTTGTTGTAAAAACGGTTGTGATTAGTCAATATAATAGCTCTGTCACTTTTGGAAACCAATAGAATTAAGCCTTCCAAACACCATCGACTGTATTGTATACAGGCGCTTGTTTCAGCGTAGAGTATGTATTATCATTTTTCTCCGGCGACTGATGCGAAGACTGGAGTGTGCCTGGTGTTTGTTTGATAAGTTAGACCCTTTCTATTGCTCTTTTTACTTCATGAAATATATGAATGGAAAGCTTATGATTAGTGGATTCTCATCATGTAAATATAATTAGGTTTGCAGTTATAATTTTGCTTCCCTCAAAATTCTCATGTTACAGTAAAATGAATGCAAGCGTTCGCCGGTTCACTACTTAGGCTACATCACGCGCTGAACTCGCACAGGAAACATTGAATGATACGCGCTAGAAAGCAAGAATTAATTTGTTCTGTTAGGTGCTGTTTTTGGCTCTTACAAATTCATATGCCAGGCCGAGAGGGGGGAGGGGGGCCGTCGGGGTGCGTTCATTCTTTCCCTATGAATTTATGGATACTCCTAAATATTTTTGTGTGTGTTTTTGTGCATTTTATGAGTGTTGGTTTTTTCATCTTGCACCTATTGTATTTATCTAATTATTTAAACAATTATTTTTAAGTGTTTAATATTTTAAATAGAGGGCCCCTGAATATCAGCTTGCCTTCTTGGTCCAGTTGGAAGGGATACCCTCCATAAATAATGTTTGAATAAAGAATAAAATAATTGCCGGCCTGTTTATTTTTTTAACAGGATTAAGCAAAGTAATCAGTTAATAATTTAAAAAGTAGTTGGTTAGTATATATTGATCTAAGTTTGTTTTTGCTCAGGTATTTTAGTATTTCCTGTTTCTTTAACTTTTAACCGTGACTTTGAAGACGATCTTTATGACCCTTCATCTACGGCTTTCAAAAAAGAAGCGTCTAATATCACTAACTATGTAAGTACATTTCTATTGAATACAACTGAATATTTAAATCACAATATCTGTAATATTAATGTTTGATGGTTAAAATGTCGAATTCAAAAGCTCCTTAACTGTATTCTGAACAACTTTCTTGAGTTTTACAAAAGAGATTTTTTTTAAAAATTATTATTCCATTTATATTGCTCCTTTACATCGAATTTCACATCAACTCTGTTTTAGTAACTTTTCAACTGTCTCAAATTTGCGAGGTGTTTTGTTTGTGTGTGATTGTATGCTATTGTCATTTTGTTATTATTATTTATTTTTCAATTCATGTTTCATATTTTCGGTTGCTTATTTGTGTCTACTGGTCCAATAATTAAATATGTGGACCCGCCTCTCTCGATCACCACTCTCAATACACTGTACACAATAAAGTAACACATAATCTGATAATCTTTCACTAGTATTTGGGAACGTACTGAGTATTCAGTACGATAATACGTCAGGTACAGCAAAACATCACTCCTTGGATGTTTTCCTAACGCAAATTCATATCTATAGCACTTTGCAGTACCCACTGATACTAGGGAATCGGATGCATCACTAGTCAACAAGCGCAAGCTCGATGGTCTAGTGGTTAAGACATGAGACTAGATACCTGTAGGTCGTGGGTTCCATTCCCACCTGAATCACTTGCGATTTTTTTCGCTAGTATTTGGGGACGTTCTGAGTATTCGGTACGATAATACGTCAGGTAGGGCAAAAAAAAAAACTCCTATGATATTTTTCTGACGCAAATTCATATCTTTAAAATTCATATCTTTATGACATAATCTGATATAGTGTGATTCGGTGGTGATTTATTACAACAAAAAGCAAAGGGACCGTCCCACACGATCGGTCCCCTAAATGAATTTCTGTAGTAAAAATTCTTAAAAAGTGGCCACCAAGCCAAACGGCAGGGTGCCATAGCCCGTCGCACACGATCGGTCCCTTTGATGAAATTCCATATTAAAAATTCTTAAAAAGTGGCCAATAAGCCAAGCGACAGGGTGCCATAGCGCCCTCGTGTAATGGAGAAGGAAGGGGTGGCAGGCGGTAAAATTTTTTAAAGGAGTTATCGGTGCACAGAGAGAGGTAATTACAATCCGTAAAACGGGCTCCGGTTGTATATCCACACGAGGAAATGCAATAGATTGAAATTACTACGCGGGCATAGCGGCACCTATTGGGGTGTACCTACGCCCATTGACACAACGATTTTTCTCCGCTGATCTTGGAAAAGTTTATTTTGCTGTATAGGAAACTTGTTCCTCATTGGCTTCGCCCCGCACCTTTATTTGAGAAAATAAATATAATAATTTTATTTTGTTTATTATATTTATTATTTCCAATAATATTACTAAAATAACAGAGGTCAGATCTTAACATGGAAATTGATTTTAGTAGTACCAGAGGTCCGAGTGTTTAACTCCCATAATATCCTATAAAAAGTACAGTTATTTTAAAGCATGCGTGAAACAAGTGCCTGCACTGAATTCCAAGTATGTTTTTGCAATGTCTTATCTTCCAGTTGAGCGAGAGTTTGTCGTTGAACGTAACAATTCAAGTACGTAGCTTCTCTCCTGGCAGTATCATTGCTGATGTCAACTTCTACTTGTTAAACACAGACACTTCTTTCTATGATCAATTTTTGGAAATGTTAACCCAGGAACTGATTAGAATTGGAAACAACTCTGATGGAATTCTGAACGTTGATAGTATCGTAATACGCAGCACAGGTACACTCAATTATTATTATTAAAAAAATAAAATAAAATAAAACGTTGATTGTGGTGAATTAACACAATCTTTGATTTGTTTATTGCCCATTGATTTGTGTTCTCAATTTTAATCAATTTTTCTATTTTTAATGATTTCTTCTGTATCTTGTTATCTTATGAACACACATATCTTTATTATTTGTCATAAAATACCATCATTAACATACATTTTTATGTTTTTAATATTTTTCTAAATTTAAAAATGACCCACACTTAGCCGTATCTATATTATTTATTGTTATATACTTGACAAGTGTTCTTTCTGCTTTCTGATGTTTGGTTTTTCCAATATCTGTGATATTTCATATACAAGCTAATAAGACTGTTAGTACCAGCAGCGTTTCGACCTCTATCTTAATACATGTATATGTATAATTCAATTTCGATTTATTGGACAAAGACGCAGATAAAAACATGTTCGAAACTTTGGAGTGTACATGTAGAACATTGTCTAAAAATATTTAAAAATTTATAACACAACATTCAAAAAAAGTTTTAAAAAGTGATATACAACATACATAAGCATAAAAAAAATACAAACCCGTCATAAAGGTGTTCAGAAGTTTTATAACCCAAAAACTTTTAAAATATCCAAAGTTGGTAAAAATAGTTAAAAGTACTGAGGTTGAGACATTAAAATATTATAAAGATAAAATTTTGATTGAAAAATTAAAACCATTTTAAAATGTAAACAGCCAACATTAATTCAACATTAAATTTAATTTACCTCTTCCACGATGCGTTGTAGTTTCTGATGGCAGATGGCAGAAACGATTTCCTAATTCCTTTCTGTGTTCCACCACGGATAGATTATGCAGCCTGTTCTACTAAACTTAAGATATTAGTGCAGTGGATGGTTGGAGTCTGTATTAGTATTAGTTGGTTATTTGAGCACCAGGTTGTAAAATGTTTAACATTATCATGGTAGACACTATCAGCATTACTTTTAACAAGACCAACTAAGCAAGTGGCATCTGCATATTTAATAGTAAAATATCTTGTTGTAGAGCCAGCATCTATAGAACATTTAAAATCATCAGTATAAAAGGAAAATAAATTTGGGGATAAAAGACAACCTTGAGGTGCTCCTGTATTACATTTAAGGTTTTCTGATATACAATTGCTCTCGGTCCTTTAAAACATTATTAATCCATAAAATAACAGATGGATTAACTCCTAAAACACACATCTTTTTCTTTAAAATATGTGGTTGTATAGTATTAAAAGCAGAGGGGAAGTAAAAAAAAAAATTCTAGCATAGGAATTTGGTTATCTATGTTATCCAGAATGTTATGCAATAAGAAATAGACAGCATCATCAACTCCTCTCTTATAGCGATATGCAAATTGGCAACAGTCTAATTTATCGGTAGAGTCTGCAAGAATAACATTTTTACACCTTTTCCAGACATTTTATCGGTATTCCTGTGAGCGCTATAGGTTTATAATCATTTAAGCATGTAGGGCTGTTTTTCTTAGGAAGAGGATGTATTTGTGACTGTTTCCATAATATTGGGCTTTGGTTGGTTCTAAGCGACCAGTTGTACTATTGCATAAATACATCAGATAGTTCATTTCGTTTCCAACTACTTTACCTGAACCCCTGCTTTACGAAGATTGATTTTCTTAAAAAACTAATTGTACATCTGCTTTGTTAATTAATGGCGTCTCCACTTCAGAAATATTATCCCTAATGTTGGACTCCACTAACTGTCGAACATCACTACAATCTTGGTTATCGAAACACAAGTAAAAGGAATTCAGTTCATTTGCCATCTTATGAGCATCTTCTGGTTTCACACTACAAACAGAATTTTTGTCATATCCTGTCATCTGTCTCACATTTTCCCATACTTGTTTGCTGTTGCTTGATTTAAGTCTCTCCTCCACTTTTTTGCATATTCCCTCTTACAACAGTTAATATCCTTTTTTAGTTCTCTCCGTATTAGCTTCTTTTCTTGATCATTGTCACACTTATACTTTCTTTGCACCAACTTTTTGACATTTCCATTTAACCACGGCTTATTGTTAGGAAATATTTTCCCCTTTGTTTTCTTGATCCCCATCATTGTGCAGAAATTAAAATAACCGGTAATAGCCTCTGTTGCTTCATTTAAGCTTGCATTATCCATGAATACATTCAAATTCGTAGATTCAAAGCATGCTCTAAGTTTATCAGTGTTATCCTGTGACCAAATTTTATTTTTTCTAATTGTGGTCTTAACATTTTTTACCCTTTGCACATATTGTGGCAACAACAGTAATGTTTTGTGATCTGAGGTTCCCAGCTCAGGTCTGATGACACATTTATAGGCATAAAGAAGATTTCCTTAACATTTATCGAGGATGTTCCCAATCCTTGTGGGCTTGTCCACATATTGATGAAAATGAGGAACTACACTTTTTAATTCGCAACGGGCATTGAAATCCCCTAAGGGAATTTTTACAGCATCTGGCGAATTATTGTTCATGTCTCTTATAAGATCATTAAGGTAGGCAGATGAATTTGTCACGTTAGCATCCGTGGTGATATACAGTGCCGTGATGAATAGGTTGGGAATTTCCCTTGGCAAATAGTAAGGTCTTAGGGAACTCTGTATTCCGTGAACAATACTGTCTGTAGATTTAAATATTCGAGCACCATCGGTCGTTCACATAGATGCATAGCCCTCCTCCGACCTATTTGCCAGCACCTGGTGTTCTATCTCCCTGTATACACGTATATCCATCAATATGGCGACGTTGTGTATATGTTTGGCTTAAACCAAGTTTCTGTCACTGTCCTAAAAAAAAAAAGGAACGACTGATTCGGAGTGTCCGGAAGATTCTCTACTCATTACTAAAGGAACAACATATTCAACTAAATGATGAGTCGCTTCAAACCTTATTCTGTGAGGTAGAGGCAATTATGAATGGACGACCATTAACAGAATGCCCAAATACACCAAATGATTTAGAGGTATTGATACCCAACCATTTGCTGCTTTTGAGGTCAGGAGAAAGCCTCCCTCCTGGTCTTTTCCACAAGGGTGATAAATACCACACAAAACGATGGCGACAGGTTCAATACCTTGCTAATATTTTTTGGAAGAGGTGGGTACGGGAATATCTTCCACATCTTCAAATGAGGCAGAAGTGGCTTAAGTCAAGACGGAACCTAGCTGTGGGAGACATTGTACTAATCATGGGTTCTACACCAACGAACTCATGGGCACTCGGCAGAATCACTGCAGTTCGCAAAGAAAAAGGAGGTCTAGTAAGAAGTGTGGAGTTGAAGACGAAATCTTCTATCTTAAACCGACCAGTAGCCAAGTTATGTCTACTTGTTTAGAACAGCAATAATTCTAATGTGAATTAACCTATAGGTTGCTCATTTAATTGACTAAGATAGTTGAGTTGCTTATTAGTATTTATGCAAGTGATACGTTTCGTTTTTATGACATTAATATATGTGTTTTAGATTGTGAAAGGTATTAACTATAGTTATACTTAAATGATACTAAAGTTTATCGAGCTTTGAAGTATAAATGTGTAAAGTTACACTATTTAAAGATTAATATCCTAAGAAAGTCTGTACTGATAGAAAGTAGCATTTAATAGCTCGCTTCGGTGGTACGGTAGTTATTTGTTTGAATTGTTTTTGTTATAAAGTTTAAAGTTTGGCCTACAGTGTTAATATGAAAAGAGAGTAATAGTTCATTTTGCCAGATTCACTATTAGAGGGCTGGTATGTTACGGCCAACGTATCGTTTTAATTAATTGTTGGATAATAGAATGAACCGCTAGGTGGCGGTAGTCAGGTTGCGGCAGTCAGCCATGGTAACATCAAGTAGTAAGCCTCGTACTATCGTAGTACTGAACTGTATTTCATCACAAAGTATATATATATATATATATATATATATATATATATATATATATATAAAATGAGTACGAATGCACAATGTAGAGTCGTATTTTAATCTAGATCATAATCAACAATCCTATAATTTACTTTTTGTTCTTTTCTTTTTCACCTAACTAAACATTGTATTTTTTTTTTCTAAATAAACATTTACAATTTTGTATATTGTAAATGAAATTCAAATTGTCTTTATTATTTCCAATCTTCTTACCTCTCTTTTTCTAGTTTCTTTTTTTATTTCTATTATGTTTGTATTTTTCTGCTACAAACCTATTTATGTATAAACGATTACATAATTATTAATAATTTAGGTTATTGTGATTATAATTTAATAGTTGTAATATTAAATTTGTTTTCACTTACTTCGTTTTTTAAAATACTATTATTATTATTATTATTATAAAAAATAACAAATAAAATCTTTTGATCATATAATCAGTGGCGGCTCTAGGATATATTATCTGAGGGGACTGAGCTGTCCAACAGGGGGGACTTGGGCTGGTAGCCAGAGCTGGGGGGAAGGGTTTGAGAGGGTGTTTCCCCTCCCAAATGAGATTTTTTTTAGGAATAGGAACCTCTGGATGGGCAGAAATGACACTCTCTGATTGTGACACACATGTGTTGGCTTGCCGAGGGCCTATTTTTATATATTTGTTAGTCCGACTGCCCGACGAGCCCTTTCCAATGCGGGGAGAGGGTTTGACCTGTCCAATGGGGGGCTTAAGCCCCTGCTACCCCCCGCTGCCGCCGCCACTGCATACAATCTATAGTTTTTTTAACAATTTGATAATAAAGTAGTCTGCCAAAGAACACAAATGAATGCCCACTCTAGAACTAATTCTTTATGCAGTCTCATTTTTTTTTTACAGTAACGTGTTATGGAGAAGTTTATGGAAAATTTACGTTTCCTGATGCCTTAGTTAGACAAACTGTATATTCAGTAGAAAAATGTGATGAGTGGACAGTAAATTGTAAGAATTATATTTACATTAATAATTAGATTCATAATAATATAATTGATAATGTTAATAGTGTTTATTTCTAGAGAGCGTATCACCAGAGATTCTCCATGCGCTAGAAAACAAAAATCATGAAAGAACAAAAATGTAAAATTATCTAAAGACAAAGAGAAGACTGTAGACGGAAACGGTGCCACTGCTCCGTTGTGCAGTATTTTGAGGCTCTCAAGAGCATGAGCCACAATAGCTTTATTGACACTAGCATCTGGCTATCCTATCCAAAGTATGACGTAAAAATAAATTTTAAAAAAAAAGACTACAGAATTACAGGTAGTGGGTTCCGTAGCTTTTTTTGCAGCGACTCTAGGTTATCGTTCACCATAAGATTGTAAACTGCTTGGTAGGCAGTAGAGTATAATTGTAGATTTTGAAGTACGATAACAAGTAGCAGAACGTAATTGAATAATGTTGATATACCAAGGTGTTGAGTGATTTATAAATAAAAACTATAGGGTTTGCAAAAAGTACGATTTTGGTTTCGATTTTATTTGTTTGATGGGTAGGCAATGAAGAAAACGAAGATAAGGATTTCATTTGCTATTAAATTAGGTTAAATTCGATCAACAGGTACTTCTCAGAATTTCTGTTTTTAAATAACAAACGTGTGTAAAACTGAGCGGGTTCTTTAATTTTTTTTCCTGATTCAAATTTTATTTAATTTAATTGTTATCCACTGAATTAATATCGGCACTTTTTCTCATTTTTCGTTCTTTCATATGTTTTATATGAATTTTATTTATTTTACATGCCCAATGAATATACATTTATCAGCAAGTAAATATTCTGATATTAATTTCCAATTTTCTGTAAACTCATTATATTAGATAAGTGTCTATTTTACGTTTAGATGAACTGCAAAAGGCTAGCCGATCATGTACTGGCGATGGATTTAGCGCAGCAGAATGGGACGAACCTGTAGAGGCAGACTGTGGAATGAACGCTACTACCGAACAATTGTTAGAACGTTTAACTATGGTATTGTCAAAAGTTTAGATTTATTGTACCTCATTACGTACAGAGTTAATTTTTATATTGTCACTTTTTAGACAATAGCAGGAAATAAGGTAGTACAACTAATAATGAATAATTACAATTTCAAATACTAAGTAAAGAGAAAATTTTATGTAGAAAATTTGTATTATTTTCTATTTTGATCTATCATAGTTCAGAATTCGTTCAGACCATCCGTATTTTAATGATTTTACTTGAGACTCAGGCATTTGGATTCCACCTTGTTTGACATCCTTGATTGGTGTTTTCCCTTTTCCCATACCGCCAAAATTTGAAGATAACATTTTCAACCGTAGACAATACACTCTCTGTTATATAAATTTATACTTGTCTTTTATATTCTTTTACAAACAAACCATAAGGCATTGGTTTTCGTTTTATGTAACTGAAAGTTAAATACCGTGAATAAACCTTCAATAATTTCAAATGCTCTTTAGATAGTCTTTTCTAGATCCTTAATTCTTGAATATTATCAATGGCTGGTAATTTTACACCTACCTATTCTTTATATAATTACATTTGCAAGAACTTCATCCTTCACAATAAAAGAAGATCTGAAATTGGTCACCTTCGGCTAATGCCGTTTTGTCATAGGAAAGGGAGCTGAACTCCATCCATTAATAATAATAATAGTAATAATAATAATAATAATAATAATAATAATAATAATAATAATAATAATAATAATAATAATAATGACAATAATAATAATATGAATTGTTCAGTATATAGTGCATACATGATTTTCTTAGGTTAACGTCACAATTGAGAATGTTAAAGAGGTGAGCAATGATGTGGAAGATATTACAACGGAAGCAGATATGATTTCTGTGGAAGCTTTACAAAGTACTGCTGAAATTCTGGAAGATATTCTAAACACAGATTCTGATTCTATTGAGGTATCTACAAAATCTATCATCATAATTTCGACATTTTATTACAGATTTAAAAAACAAAATTAGTAGTAATGAAAACAAAATCAAGGCACTAATTACCTACATTCAGTGCGTACTCGCACTGAATATATATTGTTGAAAATAAAATAATGCAGACGTTCCTTAGGGCCATTGGTATATTAACATTAAATTAATCCGTCCTGATATATTGAGCCATGCCATGCATATATTATTTTATGGAATGTGTATTAATTATTAAATTTTCATTTTATCATTAGGTTACCAACTCTGTTGTTCAGGTAGTTAATAACTTGTTCATCGCTGAAGAAGCAATTTTGATGCAAAGTCAACTAGAGGATCAAGCCCCTACTAAGATTGTTGAAGTTCTTGAAGATCAACTGAGTCTAGTGGAGCTAGATGATGATAATGTTTATAACGAAGTTACCCCCAATCTTGCAGTACAGGCTCAGAAAGTTAATGTCAGCCAAGCAAGCCAAGAAGAGTTGATTTACTTTACATTTATATCAGAATCAAGTGCAAATGGTGTAGGTGTTGTTCAAGGGATCGATGATAACGTGAAAATACCTGATCCTGCCAATGTGTCAATTGCTGTGCCAACTGGTATATCTGACGTTATCAAAGAAAAAAATATGACCGGTAATAACTATAACCTTAGTAGTTGCGGCGTAATGCACGTTTCGGCCGGTGTAAAGCTGCTGGGATCAGTGGCGTAGAAAAGTATTTTTCATTGGTGAGGATGATTGGCGTGTTAGCCAGTGTCGTAACAGGCGCTGGGGGGGGGGGAAACTGCCCCTCCTCTGACGGTTTTTACCGGGCTGACCAAGCCGTCGTACCGGGCTGGGTAATAAGAGAAAAGAAAGAGGGGAGAGGGAGGGAAAGAGAAAGAAGAGGAAAAGAAAAGGAAAGAAAAAGAGAAGAAAAGGAAAGAAAAAGAGAAGAGAAAGGAAGACAAGAATAAAAAGGAAGATATCATAATGACCAGACTCACAACACCCTCTAGCAACCCCTTCTCCACTTCAAAAACTGTCATAACTTCTTTGATCTATGCTGCCCGATGGCGTAATCACTGGGGGAGAAGGGGAAAATATCTATCTTTGAAAAATCTTCCCCACCCCTTTATAAATGCCCTTTTCATACCCTGAAAGTGCCTAAAAACCTCAAATTTCACGCGCATTTGTTGACATGGGCCAATTTTTTTCAGAAAATTGCACATTTTAGGGAGTTTTGATCAATTCCAACGAAATTAGAATTAATAACACCGGGGGACAAGGGGAAAATATCCATCTTTGGAAATCTTTCCCCACCCCTTGACAAATGCATCCTCTGAAAGTGCCTAAAATCCTCAAATTCTTTACGCTCATTTCTTGTTACGGTAGGCCAATCTCCTCTATAGATTGCAGATTTTAGTTAGTTTTCATCAATTCCGACGAAATTAGAATTAAAAACACAAACATATTTTGAGCGCCTCGCGCGCATTTTTTAGGTTTATCCTTTGAAATTATTTAAACACATAATAGTCCCATACTCAAGAAAGACACATTTAAGATAGATCGTTTTAACATAAAAGAAGGGCCTCAATGTGTATTGATGGTTAAAGAATATGTTTGTAATAAATTATAAAACCATGATAAAAATGCTTATATTTAGTTTCAAACACACGTGTGTGGCCTATATTATAAATAAGATAAGCCCTATGTCGTATTGTTTTCTGTATGGGGAGTGGGGTGGGGTGGTAATATGGTAAATTACTAACCGGGAAAATAAATACCAACTCTGACCCAAGACCCCTGTTACGCACCTGGTGTTAGCGCCAATGTGTGCCCTTGTGCGGACAGGGGATGTGCCCCCCCCCCCTGAAGCTCGAAACCTTGTTTTTGCAAAATAAATTGATGCAATTTGCTATTATAGGCCTAATCAATAAATTCCTCATCAACCGATATGACCTTAAACTTCCTTGGAGTTGACATAACATTACTGATGTCGTACACACCCTTCAGTGTGAAATGTGGCTCTTTTTGCAAGCACTCTAACATCTAAGGAAAGAAGAGATTAGATTGGTACCAGATAAAATAATTTGGTTATCAACATTAATACATTATGCTAATTTCCATCTTTTTAAGCGCATAAGCAAATTATTTCTGTGACAGTCTTTTGAAGTGTGTAAAGCTCCATTTTATCCCATACATAGTCAAAATATTGGGGGGGGGGTGATGCAATGGACATCCCCCTTGTCAAATATTGGGGGAGATTTATCCCCATCTACGGGATTGGTGGCTATTAAAGGGTCGGAAACGGCCCGCCAGCCCACAGCGCCACTTAAACAATTTAGTGGCGTTACGGGCAGCTACGGTGGTGGAAAGTGAAAATGCGTAATTTCCTATTGCAATAAAAACTTTTTGATACTTTCTGTATTTTTATACCAATTTTTTCGGGACTAATTTGCTGCCATAGCGTGGTGTTTGATTAGTGTAGCGATTTTATTGAAGTGACTAATGATGAATGGACGTAATGGTTTACTGAACACTCTACAGTAAGATCACATGACCTTCGCGAAAGAATATATTAAGATTACTATGTGCAACTTAGTTCTATAATAAACTTACTATTTTATTTGTTTCATTTAGTCATATCAACTAATGCACTAAATTATCATAAGCAAAAACTTTTGCTATTATAGTTATGTTAATTATATGTAACATTATAAGGCATTTAATTTTTATTTTGTTTTTAGATTTCCGTATTGTAGTTATTGTATACAACGACAGTAGGTTGTTCCAATCAGCTCAGTTTGTTAATGATAGTTCAGGTCGCAGACCGAATAGTCAAGTCATTTCTCTGTCAGTGCCGGAACTAGATCGCTTTGAATTGGATGAGCCCATCGTTATAACGTTTATTCCACTTGAGGTAATTTTATGTTGATTTACATTGAATTGGTGCGTTCCATTTGTATTTAACAGGCTTATTATGTACTAACATTGCATATTAATTATTTTAGGCTAAATGCTGATGACATTAATAATATTAATAATTTAAAAAAATCTCATACGAGGAAAATTGGGTAGAAAAACTAATTACGCATTTTAAAGGAATCAAAATATATTGTGCATAGATCTGCTGATTTTTATACATTTTCTACGAAATTCATTTGATTAATTAGACTACCGGTCAATTAAATAAACACATAATCATTAATTAGGTAAAGTATTAATTATAATGCATTCTCTAACTAGGGAGAAGCTAACGTTGCAAACAAACATTTTAATTATGCATTTTTATAGTTCAAACTTTCTAACTCTACTAGCATTTTAGGCCTTAATATTTGGCATGTGCCTAAATAATAAAAAGAAAAAAAATAAGAATAGATAATAAAATTTTCAATAGAATAATGTAGTTTGAATGCACTTTTGTAAATTTTATTTCATTTTATTTTAAACCGGGGACCTAGAAATATATATGTTTTATGTATATTATTTCTTTTATTTTAATAATCTATTTCACAAATTGCCTATCATAGATATCTGATACAAACGAGAATACAACTTGCGTGTTTTGGGACTACAGGCTTGATGGTGGAATAGGGGGATGGTCACCCGAGGGTTGTACGTTCGTAAATGGATCTGCCGATGGGAGCGATAGACAGTATTGCGAGTGTAATCATCTAACTAGCTTCGCTATACTAATGGTAAGGTATACAAACAGGTGATGGGAGGAGAGAGGTTCGATGGGTGTTTATCAATATGCAGTATATAATGAAAATTATATTACATTGTATTTATGCATATCAACACTGATTTTTCTTAAATAATAGTAGATAACATTAAGATTAGGACCAGAAGACAGAGGCAGTAAGTATTACTAATGTGTTCTACGACCACATTGCAGTGGGTAAAACAGTGATTGATTGTTGATTTAATATTTCTTTATTAATTAAATGATTGATTGATTGATTGACTGATTGTTTGATTGAGCTGTTTTATTCTAATTTATTATAATTAGCGTCTGTTATATTTTCACTACTTAATTGTATTTTGTCATTTTTACAGGATTTTTATCAACGAGAACCGCCTCCACCAGCGTCCACTGTTGTGACTATAGTTGGTTTAAGCATATCAATTGCATCTCTTTGTTTAACAGTTTTTACCTTTTTATCCAACAAGTATGTTCTGCTCTCGAATATAATAATAATAGTTATTATAATCGTATTAAGCCTACTAATATTTTTTTGCTATTATTATCGCTAAAATATTACTATAATTTACTGTTATTGATATTACTATAGAGGAATGCAGGATATTATTGTTGTTGCCGTCGCTGCTTCTGCTATCGCCTTTGTTACCTTCACCGTCATTATTATCATTATTGAATATTTAAGTTTAGTTGTATAGGCCATCAGCAGCATTCAGTTCTGTCCCAGCAACAGATGGACAAGCTGATTTTTGTGTAAATCGGTAGAGCATATATTAAGTAAGGCTGAGCAAAAGTTTCTCAAACAGCTTCTAATCCAATATTTTAATATTTTTTTTGTTAACGAATTATTTGGAACTTGTCACGATGCGTGAATAGCCGCCATTGCAAAAATATCATGTGACTTGATTTGACCAATCCCAAAACAAATTAAGCTACCATTGAGGGCGCATTATGACAACAACAAAGATGGCGACCCACAGGCAGCCGCACGATCCACCACCTGGAAGTGGTAAAAAATCTGTAAACAAAGGGGTAAATCCAAAGAACATTCGCTGCACAATGCATTTTGATGATGTTCCGTCAAGCGGGGTAGAACCTTTTACAAAGACAAGATGGAATACATTTAGAATGTGCGCAAAACAATGGAAAGATTTGAGAAGCCATGAATGTACTCTCTCTGGCCGAGTCGCCGATAGATTTGCTTGCGTGTAAATATAGTATACAGTAGTAGCCTAGGCCAGGCCCGTAGCCAGGTCATTTCAAGGGGGGTTCTCTGGGCGTGGGGTCCAGAGGTGGCGGTGCTCCGACGAGGGGCCAGATTTCCCCTACGAAAGCAAAGTGGGCGTGGTCGAGCTTCAATTAATAGGTTCCAAAAGTGGTCCTGGGGGTGAAGCCCCCGAAAATTTTGACAATTCAGGGGTTTCAAAGGCTTATTAAATCGATATTAGAGTCCGCCCCCCCCCCCGAAAATGTTGCCAGATACAAAGTTTTCTGTACCTCGTCGTCTTCAGAACAGAGTCTTCCTCCAACAAAAGATGCATTTTTACAGCATTATAAGCGGTCTAATTACCAAGCCTCTATTCATCGCAAGCCATTATGTGCAACAATTAATCCACCATCCCCAAATGGTCATGGGTGGCAAATTCAGGATGAAGAGCTAATCATCACTTGGTCAACAAAGGCTCCAAAACCAGAGACTGTACACTGGATGTAAGCAAGGCAAGTGTGAAACAGGAAGATGTTCCTGCCGTAAAGGCGATTTCCCTTGTACTTATTTAAAAACTTTCTTAACGCATGAGACATTTTTGTAACCATCAGATGTAAAGAAAACTAAGACACAGGAGTACGAAAAGCATTATTTATGTAATTATTTGTTAGATTTTATTTCTATAGTATTTATGAAGAAGTTGATGATGAGGAAAATTTAATTACAGTACCTTTATTAAAATATAGAACATAAAGAACTTAACGCACAAGACCGAATGAGACGATAAGCAATTTTTAACCATAAGATGTAAACAAACTAAGACACAGGAGTACGGAAAGCATTATTTATGTAATTATTTGTTAAATTTATTTCTATTGTATTTATGGAATATTTTAAGTGTTGGTTGTATTGTAGAGAAAGACAAAGAAGGAAGATTAAAATTTATAAAATGTGTCAATAACGAAAGATAACATTGAAAGATAAATTTAAGTAAGTTAAGTACTTTAACTACTAAATTTGACCATTATGTAATAAATGTTATTGAATCTGAAATGATACATTGAGTAACTACCTATATCATTGCTTTACTATATGAATGATGGTATTTTGATGAAATAAAAGTGGAACATTCTTGTATGGTATTTTGATGAAATAAAAGCGGAACATTCTTGTAAATTGCAAGAATGTGGAAACAACTAGTGTTGAACTATCATTTGAGAACATCATAGACATTGGTGATGATGAGGATAGCGACATTGATGACTTGCTTACAGATCCATTGGCTTTTTAAGTTTCTTTTTCTTTTCTCTTAAACAGTATTCATACCATTTAATATACAGTATACAAAGATGATAAATCATTAAAAATTACAAAAAATTGGAAACAACAATAGTTTGTAAATGATAATTTAATTACAGTACTTTTATTAAATTATAAAAAAAAATACAATAATGTAACGTAACTTAAAGAACTAAATGTATCAGAAGATAAGCAATTTTTAACCATGAGATAAAGCAAACTAAGACACAGGAGTGCGGAAAGCATTATTTATGTAAATATTTTTTAGATTTAATTTTTTATTGTATTTATGGCGTATTTTAGAGAAAGGCGAAGAAGTTGATGATGAGGATAATTTAATTACAGTACCGTTATTAAAATATAGAAAATACAAAAATGTAACGTAACGTAAAGAACTTTCTTAACGCATAAGAACATAAGCAATTTTTAACCATCAGATGTAAAGCAAACTAAAACACAAGAGTACGAAAAGCATTATTTATGTAATTATTTGTTAGATTTATTTCTATATTATTTATGAAGAAGTAGTTGATGAGGATAATTTAATTACAGTACCATTATTAAAATATAGAACATAAAGAACTTAATGCACAAGACCGCATGAGACGATAAGCAATTTTTAACCATGAGATGTAAAGCAAACTAAGACACAGGATACGGAAAGCATTATTTATGTAATTATTTGTTAGATTTATTTCTATTGTATTTATGGAATATTTTAAGTGTTGGTTGTATTGTAGAGAAAGACAAAGAAGGAAGATTAAAATTTATAAAATGTTTCAATAACGAAAGATAAAATTGAAAGATAAATTTAAGTAAGTTAAGTACTTTAAATACTAAATTTGACCATTATGTAATAAATGTTATTGAATCTGAAATGATACATTAAGTAACTACCTATATCATTGCTTTAATGTATGAATGTTGGTATTTTGATGAAATAAAAGTGGAACGACCCCACAAAAGAGTAAAAAGAACTGTGTTTGCTGTAGGAATCTAAAAACTAATTATTGCATGATTTTAATATGACCGTACACCTCAGAACCGTATATACACGATTAAAAAAATACATATTTTTTCTTCATTTTTTAAAGTTTTTAAAGTCTTAATAAATAAATAATGATACCACAATCTCTATATCTGTTAGGAACTGTCTTTGCTGTACGAATCTAAACACTCAATGGTTACAGTATATTTGACACGATTTTTATTGACCTCAGAACTTTGTACGAGATTTAAAAAAAAAAGACATTTTCTTTATTTTTTTTAGGTTTTAATTTTATTTTGACGCTCTTAATAATTAAATAGCAATACGATAATCTGTATATCTGTTGGGAACTGTCTTTACTGTTGAAATCCACACACTCAATGATTACAATACGATTAGCATGATCTTATTGACCTCGGAACTTTGTATGATAGGCCTATTGAAGAAAAGACAAATTTACTTCATTTTTTGAAGTTTTTTCAGTTGATATTTTAAAGTTTTAAGAAATTAATAATGAAACCAAAATCTCTCTATCTATTGTGAACTGTCTTTGCTGCTGGTTTCTGAACACTTAATTATTACAGAGATTTAGCCATGATTTTAATGACCTCTAAACATGGGGCCAGACGCAAAAAGTGTGCGTTTTTAGCATAATGGGGTATATTAAAATGCACCGATGACAGGTTTTGGATGAGAGTTCGTTTGAGAACTTTTTACACATGCCCCCTGATGTGTTGGAGAGTGTATACTGCAAAAATCAGCTGGTCCATATTTTGCCGGGACACATGTCACTTTCCAGGCACTTTTAGCTGTACAGCTGATGGCCTGATAGTGTAATATGTGTATAACAATACAAAGCATTTATAATGTTAATAGGCCGAATTAATTAAGGACTGTGACGTCACAAACACATTGGAATAGTGGGTACTATTACGATAACATAAAAATTCCTATACTTATGCAATGAATAGTGTCGGAAATTGGTGTATATTAAATCGACTAAAATATAATGTTGGCAATGAAGATGCATTTTATAACATAGTCTACCTTGTATGAGAATAGGGTAGCTCTGATTAATTACATTTTCATTTAGACTAAAAATATGTCGAGTTGTGAGACGCCTTCTGGCCAATCGCTTAGGCTTGGCCTACCGTGCGGCACGCCACAAGGAACACTGAGTAAGGTGATCGATGTTGGTTACATACAGTAACCAAATCATTTCGTTGAAAATTCTGAATTAAATATATAAGCCTGGTTCTCACGAGAGACCTAGTATCCGGATCGGGAGCTAATCGTTTGCGCTAACCGTTAGCACCTGTGTGAGAACCGTTAACGGTTAGCAAGCGCTATCGGTTAGCAAGTGAGCGCGTTTCTATCGTCAACCAATCACAAGTACGCGTTTACAATTTCCAGTTTCTTATTGGCCAGTTATTCGATCATCATATTCTTGGTATCCGGATCGGGATTTTCTCGTATGGACGCACGTATGCTAACGGTTAGCAGGATCCGGGTCTTGCTAACCGTTAGTTGTTGTGTGAGAACATAGCCATAAACTATTAGAAAAGGAAAACTCAATGCATAAAGCTCCGTCCACACAATAAATTGTTACGTGACAAATAATGTGATATGCCCATATCTGGATGTAAAATGACATCACCCTGCCAATAAAATGTGCACATTACGCAATTTTTGTCAAAATATAAGTTGAGAATGTTGTCAAAGCCTTAGGCAGAACCCACTGAGAGTTATTTTATAAAATGCATTTCTAAACTACAGATACACGTTATACTCATTTATGAGGTTTAGTGCATTTTACTTACAGAAATTACACTCTTCTCCTCCACTCTCACCTTTTTGTATCTAAATATTGTTCAGACATAGGTACAATACAATACAATATTATTTATCACATTTTTTCATGAGAATACACTTAATATTGACAGTTTATAAACAGAGGGATATGATGATTTGGAATCACAAATGCGTGTCCGACTTTGTATAGACTTATGAATGATTACATTTAGTAAATATTTCAGTTCTAATATATGTAAGGATAAAATACATTGTATTTATTATTATTATTTTATTTTTTTATTTATTTTTTTAAAGAAAATTTCGGAAGAGTGTACCAAAGCAAATTCTATGTCAGCTGTGTCTGTCTCTACTTGGTCTGTACATTGTCTTTCTTGCTGGAATTGATCGAACTGAAAGCAATACAGGATGTATTGTAGCTGGGGCTTTGCTCCATTACTTCTTGCTGTCATCAATATTCTGGATGAGTGTTCAAGCTGTAAATATGTATATTTTGTTTGTGAAGGTCTTCAATACACATATACCACACCTTTTTATAAGAGCTTGTTTATTTGCATGGGGTAAGACTTTTTTCATATTTTCATGTATTTACAATTACATTTTATACATTTATCCCTTTCTTTAAAATCAAAGATTGTGTATAACCTAATATTGTTTTACTTTAGGTTTACCAGTTCCAATTGTTATGGTGTCTGTATTAATTGATATTGATACCTATGTTGATTCGATAAATAAGTAAGTCGCTCTAAAATATTTTGAAGACACGCTTAAATATTATATTATATTATCAATAGTAGTGTTTAAAAATTTATATTTGCAGTATATAAATACATTATATATATATATATATATATATATATATATATTTACAGTATATATATATATACATATATACATATATATATATACAT